CCGGCCACACAACGGACACGTTTCTATAATAGCCTCTTTGGACGACCTTGCGCGTCGGTGGTCACGCCTTTCACCTTGCGCGTCGGTGGTGACGCCGCGGACACTCGATTGAGACTGTCTTCTACGTGAAGATAACCTTGCTGCTTCTTCACAGTCTGACTGAAGTGTCATTGTGGTTGCTTTTTCTAATGTTAGCTTCGCGTCGAGCTGCATCCGCTCGGACAACTTTCTGTCTCGGACGCCCAATACGATGCGGTCCCTGATCATTTCGTCATGTAGGTTGACGAACCGGCAGTAGTTGGCCAATCCATGATGTGCTGTTATGAAGTCTTCTACTCACTCCGATGACTCTTGCACTCGCGCATGAAAATTTGCCCGGTCGTAAATTACGTTCCTTCGAACAATAAAATGCTCTTCGAACGCATTTCGTACTGCGTCGTACTGCTCCATTTGCGTCTCTGTCAGCTTCAGCGAAAGAAGAATGTCTTCGCCCTCGTCTCCCATGCAGTAGACTAAGGCGCTGACTTGTTCGGAACCGGTTTTTGCTTGGAGTCCACTCACCACTCGACAGCGCTCGAACCTCCGAATCTACTTTTTTGATTACGTATATGAAAACATTGACTGTACAAAATATGTATTAGCTGTTTTTATAGATTTTACACGGGCATTTGAAACGATAAATCACTCTATTTTATTGGACCGATTGTACAGCATAGGGATTCAGGGAAAAGTACATGACTTGTTACAAAATTATCTTCTAGACAAATATCAAATAGTGCGACTAGGATCGAAATATAGTAGAACAATTAGAGTAAAACAAGGAGTACCGCAAGATACAGTTCTGGGCCCCTACTGTTTAATTTATATATAAATAAAATTGCGCAAGTAAAACTAACAAGCAAATTATTTCAGTTTGCAGATGACACAGTAATTGTATACGCCCACAAAAGTTATGAAGTTGCCGTTCGAGAAGTACAAGAAGACATTTACAATATTTTTCAGTGGTACTGTAGAAATCAGATTATCGTAAATACTTCAAAAACTCAAATAATGTGCTTTAGAGATACTAGAAGAATACTATTAACTGAATTACCCATTAAAATGCACAATAAAAATTGCAATAACTGTTCATGCCTACCAATTGAGTATGTAAAAATTGTAAAATACCTTGTAATGTATATAGACCAACATCTTAAATGGGACTCACACATAGAGCAAGTTTGCAAAAAATTAAGGACACTGATGGCCTATATGTTTCACATGCAAGATATGGTCCCCCATTCTGTACTTAAAATGATTTATAACTCGTTAGGAAAATTTGTAATTCACTATGGAATAACTGTTTATGGGCACTGTGCCAACTACCTACATAGAAAAGTTGAAACTCTCCAAAAACAGATATTCAGAAGAATCGGTTGCCAAATCAAAAAGAGAAGCGATTTAATAGTGACATACATAAAAAATAGGCGTATTTTATTTTAGTGATCAATTGAAATATGACATAATCACAAAATTCTTTTTAATCAACAACCACAAAATAGAAATTGTTAAAGAAAGAACATTACGACCAAATAGGAAATATTTTGAGCCATTAATAAAGACAAAGTATGGAGAGTCTACAAGAAAATATTATGTGCCTAAACTTTTTAAAGAACTACCGGAGGAGCTGATTGAGTGCAAAAATCCACATGCAATGAAAAAAATGGCAAGAGTATGAATCAATGAACAGAAAAATTAAACAAAGTGCGAATTAATAAAAAAGTGCCAAAACACGACCGTAACCACTGAATGAATTATATGGATTATTGAAACAATGCTTTGAGATATATTACTAAATAGCAGTATGGTGACTAATAGAGGCCTGTTCCACCGGTTATAATGCACGTGTATATATGAGCTGCTTCTTTTCTTATAATTTGTTTGGTTTGTTTAATCTCATAGGAAGAGTTAAAACTGTAAAAATTATGGTTGTTAGTCACCTGCCGCGTCCCACACACAAGCCTTCTTCACTTACGTAGGTACAAAGCGAAATGTATTAAAAAATAAAAAAATAAATTGTATTGTATTGTAATGTATTGTATTGTACTGGGGCCAGTCCTCTGACTTGGAAAAGTCGAACTCTTCCGGTGGATGGCAGGCGAAGAGTGGAGCCGCCATGGCGATCCGAACATCAGGTTCTTGAGAACTGCTGACTTCTGTTGCCATCGGTTCGCAATCGTCATCCTGGTACTCTTCTTACTGAAGTCCTCTCAGGGCGAACGTCCTTAACCAGTCGCTGCCACCATGTTGTGTTAACATGGGGACATGAATAAAACCATCCCTTCTCGAACCCAGACAAAGGGTGTTCTTTACTCCGTCGTCCTCTTGTAGCCCCCCCCCCCCCCCCCCCCAACCTTCGGCACGCGATAGCACACGTAACCTAGCTTACTGAACAAGGCTTTTGCTCCATATGTTCCTAAAATAAACACTACAAAGCCACCTTCTTTATCCAAAACACAAAGTTTCATATTTTTGCTTCGTAGCTCCTTGATTGTGAAGCCGAAGCTTATACCCGGGAGTTCTCTGTTCCGATGACTTGTGAGGCAATCAATACCCTCACTAATGATTTGCGAGGCTTTCTCCTCATACGTTTTGGGTGCAATGTTCCGAACTAGGGCTAGCGTATCAATTCGCTTAAGTCTGGGTGGTATGGCACACTTCGGACCTTGTTCGGGTACCTTCCCTATTGAAAATTCCATCAAGGTACGTAATTTGGGACACTGACTGCCAGTCAGCAGCCTTGATGGAACGTGATGGACCATCAGACGTCATCTGAGAGTCCATCAGATGACGTCTGACTGCTACTGCCAAAGGAATTTCATCAACAAGGGCAGCATTTATATAAGAGTAAAGCTATACGCACTCATAAATATCGCCAAATGACTCGATAAAACAATACGTTCGAGAAAAAAAAAAAGAAAAGAAAAGCAGGACAACGGCGGATTCGAACCCGCGACCACTTGCGTACAAATCGCACACCTTAACCGCTATGCTATGGCACCGTTTTTGAAACTCGATTTCACTAATCGTTTTATACGAGATGTTGCGGCTGCAAATGCAGTTAAGCCGTCAGCATGTTCTGCTAAGCACTCGTACATCAGTCGCCGTACTTCAGTTCTACTCACCTGCCATGTAGAGTACTATCGCGTCGTAGAACGATCCTTTTGTTCGCGCGTCACCGGCCCAGTAGACCTGGTACACCTTGTCGTCTTCAACTACACCGCTAAAGTCCCTTACATCGTCGGAACTCACAACAGGCTGGGTCTTGTCAGGTAGAAATTCTACTAAAACATAAGACATTGCAGAACCCGGGCAGGATCGACAGGTTGGAACAAGCGGGCAAACAAAATGAGTCGAGAGCGATCGTTCATGAAAGCTCGGCGAACCGGCGAAGCCTCTATGCGCGAAGCGAAGTGTCGTTTTCGGAGCTTCGGCGGGCTTCTGATCAAGGTTGTCGGTCGGTTGCGTGTCAAATATCTAACGTCAGCGGTTTTATGGGCTCACGTCCCGAAATCGTTTTCTCGTGCATAGATTACTTTTCGTATGCATAGATTTGACGAAATAGTGGTGTCCGAACGAACTTTACGTCCTTTTACCGTACGTCTGTCTGCACGTCAAAGCTTTTTGACGTACAGCCAGAGACAATCGATGTACAGTCAGAATCGCCACCAAGACATCCTGACGGAATTTCGCGGCGGCCGACTGCCACCACGAAACCATCAGAAAGCCGACAAGCAGAGTCTGACTGGAGTTTGACTGTCGGTCAGAGTAACTTGTTGGCCAATCAGACATGCTTGACGTAGTACATTCAGGCACAGTCAGCGGTCCACTAGAAAACATTGACTGCCAAACAGGGTTACATTGATGGATTTTTCCTTCGGGTTTCTAGTTTTCTTCGTGATGTAAACTTCACCAATGACTTGGAGAGGCCACTTTTTTTGGATCCTCTGGGTCCCAACATTTTTGGGGAGATTCAGAGGTTTTGTGCGACCTCCGGCACATAAAACACTGCAAAATTTGCGGTGTTTTTTTGTGCCGTAGAAGTGTGGGTGATTAAAATTTAAGCTTGGTAAGGTTTTGGGATATAAGCTGTTTTTATGTGGCTTTTAAAACAAACAAAAAAAGAAAAAGAGCTCAAAGTAAATGTTCAAAAAGAGGAGAAAGTACAAAACCACAGTTGGTAGTCCAGCGGGATGTCTGTTTCTTTTTCTTTCTATATTCTGTTCTCCTAAGTTCCACTGGCCCCTTTATAATGGAGCCTTCCTTAAGTAAAAAAAGAAAGCTTAAAGAGAAAAAATCCTTAACTAAAGCTTTCTTCTGTATTGAGCGGGCTCCTTCTTTTTCTGAGAGAACCACTGTCATCATTTAGTGTTCTTTTCTTTTCGACATCGGAAGAACTTTTAAGTACAATCGGGTCCTGCGCAGGCTCTCCGACAATTGAAGAGTCATAGGCCCGTGTTCTGATATCTTACGCTTGTGCCCCGATAACGATCGAATATTTTGGCCGACACCAATAACTTAAACCGAAAAACATCGAACGTATGAAAAAATATAAACCCGCTAAAAACATTGCCGTCTGTTGGCAGGTGCGGAATCCCCTCACAATGGCGAACTACAACCGCAGCGTGACGGCACACTTTATACGTTCGGTAGGAATAGAAAGCAATAACACACCCACAAAGAAAGATGATGGAAGCAGTGACGTTTCACTTTTGACGCTGTTCGATTGGCACGTCAGCTACTAGACTGGCCGCGCTCCGACGTTCACTATCTTGGGGATTGTCTTGCACGTTCCACGATGTCTGGTGTTCCGCCATCGTGCAGTGGTTAAGACCCTCTAATAATCGACATGTGACCCTCGAAAAGAGTCTGCTGGAAGATAAAAATGCCCGAAAACAGAAAGCCCTAAACATTATGTCGTATCTTCTGTATCATATAATTAACGAATGCTAAACAACATATACTATTCTCACTTTTATTACAAGCACTTACACTGTCGATAGCCGCTGCAGGTCCACTTTCTTTGCTTCTGCGACAATAAAAATTGCCCCATTTTTCCGGTTTTATTTTACTCGCTGCTTTCCTTATTCCAAGAGCAGAAGACTAGCCGTTACTCAAGTCTAGGAAAACGGGCTCAGAGGTTTGGGCAGGAATTCCAGCGGTGGTACGTGGGCCCAAACATCCACTTGTCCGGATGGCCGTCGTGAAGATCTTGGAAGCCACTCGTGCTCCATTGGAAGGGCGGCAGCACGGAACCGTCGGGGTGGAAGGGGGGCCCGTTGATGGCAATGAACTCGAGGTTTTTAAACATGGCGTAATTGGTGAGCTAAAATAAAAAAGAACGTCATTTGTTTTAGTTGCGTTACGTTCGGGGGCGTCTAGTATGGTGCCTAGAACGCGTCTCCGACAGGCGTGTTTACCGCGTCCAAAAAGGTGGTCCCTCGATTTCCGCCTGATGGCGTCATAGAAGTGCCATGCTGTCGCCGGCCGCGCCACTGACGCTGTCGCAGCAGCTGTGGTGTATGTGATCGACGTTTATTCTGCTGCAAGTTTCTCTCCGGAGTGACAGGCTACGGAGGCTTCGGCAGCCAGAAGTCGGGACGCCGGGACGGCAGCGACACCCATGTTCGCTCGTGCTTTTAGAGCGCAGCTCTTAGGCGCCCGTTTCCGGCTTGAGCGGCGTTGCCGTCGACATCGCCGTCAGCGTCGGCGTAATTGAGGGTTGCATTATGGAACGTTTCCCATTATTACGTCACATGTGACGTTACGTGTAACGTCATCAGGGTAACGAGTGACATCGCGACGGAGGAGGGGTGTAGGGGGAGGGGGAGCTGAGAAGGAGGTGGACGAAGGGAGAAGGAGGAGAAGGGAGGAGGAGAAGGAGAGGAGGAGGGAGGAGGAAGAGAGGCCTACCCTCCTCTTTGTACCCTCCCCTCCTCTTCCTCAAGAGCTGCGCTCTAATTCGGCATTACAGGGAATTGTGAACGTCTCATTTTTTGCCAGTACTTCTAGCAGCCAACCTCTAGGATCACGGCATTCAAGAGCATGGCATTACGGCTTCTATGACGTCGTTTGTTGCCACTTTGGGGCAACTGCTGATATATGGTCATGTTAGGACGCTAAGCGCACCAGTCGGAGGCGCGCTTCAGGCACCATGTTCGTTGTCACTAGACTCGATCGATTTACCTGCACCTCCTGCACCGGTGCAGCAACGTGAGGGGCGGTATATTTCCGGTTGCATCTCAATACACATTGAGGAAATACACCGCGCTACATTTTTCTGCACCGGTGCTGGAGATGAAGGTAAATCGAACGAAGCCTGAGAAATGCGAGGCTCAATTTATTACGTTTGCGGTTCTCGGTTGGTGATTGGTCCTTCGGCGTTTTTATGCGCTAATGCAGTAAACTGATTGGCTGAGGAGAGATGACAAGATGTAACGTCGCTCACAACGATCAGTGTTTCTTAAGAGGTCGGTGACTATACACTCTAAAAAAAGTCTGAGATTGGCTTCTTTTTTTCGTGAGACGGAACCAGCGTCCACGGTAAGCGATTGAAGGTTCCCGCGAATTACGAATCAGCAAACACGATTAGACAAAATACAGGAGAACGCTTAAGCTACGCCTGTAAGAGTGTAACGCGATAGCTGAATATGAACTCCCGCTCGCTCCCAAGCCGTGCCAGCGTGTCTGCGTGGCCGTAGTCTTTCAACCATACTTCGTCCCACCCTACAATGGACTAAAGGCAGAAGCTACGGACTGACAGATCCAATCACGAGCCACTTAGAAATTGTGCGGTATTTCGCTTCGATGCACGTTCCGGTACCCGCCACTCGGGTTGATAGTGGTTTGAATCGGAGAGCACTGAGTGACTCAACAATTTTACATCGCAAAGAAAGCCACGACACGTAGGCTTTTTGTAGCGGCGAAGCTACAGAAATGATGCGGCGGTTTTGGACTCGAACATTATTTGTCTATCCCTAATCAATGTTAAGCGTGTCATAGTATAGCGTGGAACGTGATTGGACCTGGCGGCCCGTGGCTTCGGCCTTCAGTCCATCGTAGGATGAGACAAAGTATGGAGCATTTGAGCGAAGTATTTTGGAAACGATTGTATAAGAATCTCTGGGATGTTTTTCCTGTATCTTTATACAGATCCTTATACCTAGCGGGCCCGGGGCAGGACGTTTTAACTCATGTTAAGAAGATGACATTTCCCGCAGGCATGAAGACCTTTTTCTTTAAATTACATTCGGGTTCCTTGCCCGTCAAGTCATGGTTGGACCAGAAGGGGCTCCTCGTTCCGTGGGGGGTTCACTGTTTTCTTATGCAAAAAGCCTCAAACGATCGAACACGTGTTCCTCGAGTGCTTAGATGGGGTCTTCGTCTGGGACGTGCTCCAACGCACGTTGAAGAAGCGCGTCCTCCTAGACACGCACGGAATACGTTTTCTTTTGGTTAAAAACGAGGAAGGCTTCCCGTTTGACTTGGTTATGCTGCTGGGACTGTACGGTATTTGGAAGTCCCCAATGGCCCTACATCATGCCGAAAGTGATCCGCGAGAGGCGCAGAAATATGCCGAGAAAGCGTTTCTTTGTATGTTGAAGTACATAAAGTAGAGAAGTGTGTGCCTGAGTGGCTTACGCGCGTCAAAGGGCTGCTGGATAGGAAACGTTTTTAATTCCAATGACACCAGTCCTCGTGGACTGCGCTCCTAGTGCTGCCGTTCTTGTATGATTTATGTCTTTGTTATGGTGTTTTTGAAGTGCACGTCCGGCAATAAAGAAAAAAAAGTCTGCGTGGCGTAGTTCGTAGGGTGTCTGGTCGCAAACGAAGGGCAGTGGGTTCGACTCCCGCTTCCGCCTAAAATTATTCGGATTTCTTTCATATAATTCACATTAATTACTTATGGGCCAATCAGGAGTTTCCGTCCCACCGGCGCCAACGACGACGCCGGCTTTTTGACGCCATGTGACGGTTAAGTGTTTTTTTAAACTAGATATTGGCTGATGTTACGCACCTTCATGTCAACGGCCCCGCCTGGTATGCGGGTCATCCTTGGCACGTCATAGCTGCCTTTGGGGTCAAACAGGTCGCAACGGGCAGCAATGGCGTAGGCGGGATTGTACGGTGGCGTGCAGTTGCATCTCGACGCAGGATCGTGCGTGTAGTTATTGTACCTTGAGAAAAAAAAAAAAGGTCAGTTCTATGCCTAGCCTGCGTTGAATTAGAAAAAAATCATCATTCCGACGTCTTACACGGTGAGAATAGATAGAATGATGTGAATGCGTACAGTGCTTACCAAACATTTTCCGGGTCACGCGAACTGTGTCTTATTTCGAGGGTGCACTATCCCTGCGGCAGCCGAAGAACTTCTTCATAATGTCCCGTTCAATGGAACAGTCAAAGTAGGAGAGACCGCTCTCTCAGGGCCAAAATCACGTTTAGACACCGGCGAGAACGTATCAAGTTTGCCTGGCGTGCAATCAAATACTTTTTGTCCACTCGTTCACGGTGCCATTCATACGTGACTACCAAAAATTCGTTGACCTCGGTATTGCCGCGACTTCGAATTCGAGCGAGCTACTCCGCTTCTCGGGCTGTTCCCTTGAGCGCCACGGCATGCGGCAGTTCTTCGGGTGCCGCCTGAATAGTGCTCCCGTGAGATGAGACACAGTCGGCGTGTTTCGTATAAGTTTGGTGATCACTTTACTCAGTTCAGAGTAAGTCGCTCCTAATCCCAGGAAAACCAAACGCATACCCGAATGCTTTCGTTCTGTGTACACTTATTTTTCTTGTAGTTCGCAGCGACACTGTCCGAAGTGTAAGTAAAATATTCGTCGAGCATAAATTGAAGCAGTGATGCTCTACAATGGCTTGAGGAAAACCCTCAGCAGAATCTGAGGTTCCAGGAGGTGACGCTCTAAATGCTGGGCTCCATGAAACGAATATTCGGGGAGGGAACAACAAACTTAACCCGTGGCACGTCGGCTTTGTGCACCTCAAAATAGCAGCTGTTTTCACACCACGCGTAAAGCGAACGCCGCCGGGGAACATTTGTTGCTCTCTTGCAGCATGTTATAAGCAGTGGAAAAAAAAAATTTTGAGGCGGCTCGCTGGCCAGAACTGGAAGGCAGGATTTTCCGCACTCTATCTCACTGTTAATCTACTACGCCATGAGGTATTCATATACAGGCTCTACCATCTGAATTCCAACAAATTTATTTAAAAATATTTATCCAAAAAGGAAATAATAACTCGGTCTGTGCAGGTGACATAAACGCCAAAGGGGACATAATATATAGAGCTAATCGTCAGGGTAAGTCGAATAATCAACTAAAGTTTGTTAATCAACTTGTTAATTTCACAAAATAAATATTTGCGTCTATTAGAAAATTGCCCACCATGATAGAAAAAACATTAAATCAATCAGATTTATAAAGACTCGAAGCACATGGGTAGTGGGAGGGGGGATATAAATTTATTTCTCGAGAACCAGGCGCAAGGCTATTGTTGCGAAAACGCTGGTGAGAACACTATCATTGACGTTTTCGCACAGCTAGCCTTGCGCCTGTTGCACAAGCGTTAATGTTACCAAGTCTATCCGCTTCCCACGTGCGTCAAGTCCGTCTGAAATAAACGGATTAAGTGATTTTCGATGCCCCTTAGCTACTTTATACTGATAACCATGTGTTTTAACTACTCAAAACGTTAAAAAACAAGTTTGAGATAGCTTTTTTTTTTTTTTTTTTGCTTATAATGGCGATTTTTTTTTTATATTAAGTCCTGGTTGTGAAACGCACCCACGGAGAGCGCATTTGTGTATTTCAGGAATTTGTTTTAATATGTTGTTCTAAGTCAAACACCCTGCGCGTCATGGCGTCTCATCTATAGAATACGCCATGATAACTCAACGGTCTGTACGTTAGCAAGATTCAGCCAGTGATCGCGCTGAATCGGTACGCCGGACTCACGCAGGAAGCGGAACAATACTTAGAACTGTAATGACTTGTTCTCACATTCCAAAGAAGAGAAAAGCAACAATAATTTCAACCCCCATGTCAACTCTCCTTTCGCCAGTGAGCACGTGTCATGTGCGCAGGAACGTTTTCTTTTTTTACCTGCTGAAGAAAACATAGACCCCACATTGAACCTGAAATATTTTATGTGTTGCTTTTTAGAAAGCTGTCTTTCTTACTGGCTCTCAATCGATATTGGCGATCTATAATTGTTCCGAATTTATAATAGTGTACCGCATGACTCAACACAACCGCTTTTAAGATTTGAGTGAAACTATATCTGTTAGAACACTTCACTTAAATATGAAACGCTAGGCTGCGCTTATCAGCTGAATCCTTTTTCGGGCCAGGTTTCTGGTGATAAATGATATTAGAGCAAGTTCAGTAAGCAGGCATATTTGACGCAAATATTTCTGTCCAAGGTCTTAAAAATGCTACAGAAAGTTCAAGTCTCCTCGAAATGGTATAGTTTCATCACGGCATGGTCACGGCTTCTCAGAGCCCAATTTGATTGAAAATATATTTTGCAATAGTTTGTTTTCGTGATCAGCGTACCTTCGTAATATTATCCAAATAGTCCATCACACATAAGGTTCAAAGCTAGCATCATGTTGCACATTTTCTAGAGATAAATGTTTCAACTTTTTCAAGTCATTCGAAGAGAGATGTAATTATGGTAACTAGCTGAAATGGTTGAATAAATTAGGCAGGCTCCAGAGAAAACTCACCTCATGAGACCTGACATGGTGTCAACGTCTTCGACCTTGCTTTGTTCCCTCCTAAATATTTGTGCGCGGGGACACATATCATGGCTGTAATAATTCCCATATTTCTTGACCATGTCTGGTTGACCGCTGATGTTGAAGATGGCTGGAAAGAAGCTGAAATTTCAAAGAAGATAAAGTGACCAAAAAGGAACCTCGAGAAAAAAAAGCAAAAGTTACAACAGACTTGATTTAAAATCTGACAGAAGTTAATATAAAATATTTTCGACATTTTTAATTTCCTTGTGTAGAAATATTTGTTTCCGAAATTCTTCAAGTGTTCGCTTTGGGTAGGGAAGATCAAATGTCCTTATATTCCTCACATAATATTAATAACACACCGACTTGATCTGAAGGAGTCATCAAGAAAAGGTAGTACGTTATCGAAGCAATGGCTTGCAGGTGTTGAACAATAGGCTCTATTGACTCAGTGTACATACACAAAAATTAAAAATTAAATTAAACTCACGCGACATTGTAGCTTGCCCAGTACTTTTGATTTTGAAGATATTCGCTGACGTCTTTAACCCTCGTAATATTTCTGAAAAAAAAAATAGCACACATATAACTCTTTCAAGCACGGTGGATAGCACCTCATACCACCATTTCAATATTTTTTCCCCTTGTGGCATGGTGGTTTGGGTAAGAAACCACCAGTGCCTCTCTTTCTCGAGCTTCGCGCTGCTTACACCAGATGGCGCTAGCTTCCTTGCGCGCTCCAACCACGTGGAAAAGGTGTTGTTGACGCTCTCCGGCTGCTATGGCGCCTCCCACGTTTGATCCCAAAATATTTTGCAAATTAGAAGGTAAGTGCTTACTCTACAATACTGATAACAGCAAAAAAGAAAGTATGTGAGTGTACAATATATAATCTGCAAGAAAATAATTACGGCACTTCATTATGGCTTAGCGTCTCTGTGTTGCATGTGGTGGTCATCAGAAGTAGCCACCATGCCTGAAGTGACTTGAGCTTTCTCATTGCAAATCCGGTGACCAGTGTGCTGAGGTCTAAAATGTAGCCAAATTATGTAAAAAATAAAGTGCTCATTCTCATTGTTTGCTGTTACAGAGGAAGAATATGAGGACATACCGAGCGACTGCGACAGTTTTGTAGGCGGAGATGAGTCAAGTGACAGTGATTCCGACTATGATGCCAATGATGATTCTGGTGCAAGTCCTCAAGAAAACTCGCCAATGAAAAGAAAGGACATTCGCACTGTGAGTGACACCTCAGACACAGAAACGGATGACGACCCGCCAGTAACCATCTCGAAAATTCCCGTGTGGAATGCGACTTATCGGATGTGTCCGCCACTCGCCTTTTTTGTCTGAGCCTGGTGCTCCTAGTCACATCACGGACCTTGAGGACAAAAGTCCATTTGGCATTTTTAGTCTTTTGTGGACCCCATCCTGGATGCAAAGCGTGGTTTCTCAAACCAACCTGTATGCTCAGCAGGACCGCAAGTCATACACACCCGCATCGGAACAAGAGATGCGTTCTTTTTGGGCCTGAATCTTTTGATGGGAATCAAACGAAGCCCAAGCTACCGGGACTACTGGTCCAGTGCACCTGACCTTCATGATCCATTCATCTCGAAACTGATGACAGTGAACAGATTTGGTTGGTTTTTATCACACCTTCATCTGAATGACAATGTCCTGCAGCCCCAAAGGGGTCACCCTGACTTCGACAGGCTGTACAAGGTGCGGCCACTTCTGACCGAGCTTTCAACAACCTTTGCAGACAACTACCTGCCCACGGAGTTTGTGGCGATTGATGAATCGATGATTAAGTTCAAGGGCAGGAGTTGTCTCAAACAGTACATGCCGAAAAAGCCGGTGAAGCGCGGCTACAAGGTCTGGATGCTGTGTGCCTGCACTGGGTACAATCTTAAGTTTGATATCTATTCCGGAAGATCGGAAAGCGGCGTCCAAAAGGAGTTGGGCGCGCAGGTGGTAAAGGACATGTGTCAAGGCCTCGCTGGTAAATACCACCGGGTGTTTTTTGATAGCTATTTTACCAGCTATAACCTTATGAAGGAGTTGAGAGAGGCAGACATCGATGCATGCGGAACAGTCAACTCAAACCGAAGACACTTGCCGAAATTACAAGCCGACAAATCAATGACAAGAGGGGACACAGACTATTCAGTGAGTGATGAGAGCCTGTGCTGCTTCAAGTGGAAGGACAAGAGAACAGTTCACCTCTTGTCGAACTTCCATGACCCGGCAGATGAAGTCGAAGTTGACAGAAAAAACAAGGACGGAACTGTCAGCAAGGTACCCTGCCCTGCAGCATTGCAAGACTACAACCGCAATATGAATTTCGTTGACAAGTTTGATCAACCAATACCAGGTTGACAGAAAATCACGGAAGTGGTGGCACAGGATTTTCTTCCATTTTCTCGATTGCTGCGTAGTGAATGCGTTCATAATCTTCAAAGAACTTGAAGATTCCGAAAAGATGACCCTCAAAGACTTTCGCAGAAGTGTCATTGCATCATTGACTGCAGAAGGACAAGTTGGCTCTAGCTCTAAGCGAAAGTCATCAACCCACCAGACTGTCCAACTGAAAAAGTCAAAGCCCTACGTAGCCCCAATCATCCGTGTCACTGAGTCCAAGCACCAGCCAAAGAAATGCACGTCACAGAGGTGTGCAAATTGCAGCACGAAAGCGCAACCCACAAGAACAACACGGATGTGCGAAACCTGCAGCGTCCCACTCTGCCTTAGGAAAGAAAAAAATTGCTTCTCGGATTTCCACAGGAAGTGATTTTGAACGCCCTTCGAGCATGGTGGTTACCTGAACTGACCACCCGATATATTCCCATCTACACTGATTTAATTTTTTCTTTTTTCCAGAAACGAGCTTTCTTGTCCGTAGTTCACCGTTTAATCAATAAAGTTCTGTTTTTTCGCTAAAACGAACTTCTGTGCCTGAAAGAGTCAAGAAAAATTAGAACGTACGGCATCTGCTCGAGAATCCAGAGCGTATTTTTTCCGATGGCCGACCCAGGAGTAAATATCTTGTAATCCAAAACCATCCACTGATTATTGTACCTAAATAAGGAAGAAAAAAATGGGAGTCAGGGACGAAACAACACGGTAAACTATATGCAGGAGTTGATTCACGGATATTGATTGTGTTAAATTCTCGAGAACGATTAGTTGCATAGCATTACTATAGCTAGTTATTTTATAGTAAATACGTTTTGTAATACCTGCATCGGCTTTTGCCGTAGATAATTGCAGAGTTAATCTACCCTTTACTCTCAGCTTGATACTCAGTCAATATTACCGACAAGGTCAGCGGAGACGTAGACTTGCCCAATGATTTTCATCTGATTATAAGTTTTAATATATTCCATAAAGTGTGTCTTTAATTATTGTATTTACAGACCACCTCTGCATTACTGTAAGTGAAAGGTTTACGTAGTCACCTTGTCAGAAAGATGTCACGTATTAAAATGAAAAGGCAATTGTAGAACTAGAAGACGTATTTAATGAGGCGAACTTGTGCCCACAGGCTTAAAAAGAAAGGTACGACACTTCTCGCGTCCGGAAGGGCGACTGGCCCTAAGCAGCGCGCTACACCTGCTTTTATAACCTGGCACGCTAATGAACATTTTGAAACAGAACACATGATGATTAACCCTTGCTTTTCTGTGCTGTCCACCAAAGCAAGAATTTATAAAAGAAAGAACTGGGCCAGGCGGAGTTTGATCGCCACTCCGCCGCATGGCAGCTGCGTGCACTGAGAACTCTCCCACGGACGGGGTTCACAAATACCAAACAGCACGTATAAAAATGTGTAAACTTGTTTGGTACCTCGCTATAACAAAATTAGCTACCCAAACATTTTCTTTTTTTAAAAGACACTAATACAACAGCAAATATACATTTCCGTTCTTTGCAACTGGGTTTGATGACCTGCATGGTTTGAATACTCGGGAGTTGTGAAAAGAATGAAATGGCAGGCAACGTATACGCGAAATCATAAGCCGGTATTTTTTTTCTTTATATGTTTTACGGGTTCACCGCGTTGGGGAGGAAGGAGGAATAAAGGCGTGCTGCCTGACGAAGGCAGTGCCCCATAAATTTCAGTAGCTCAAGATTGATACATAATAAGAATTTAATTTAATATATTGTAACCTTCAGGGCCCTAGGGCATTACAGAAATGAGTGGGGCACAGTAAACAGAAATAAATCAAATAACAACGAAAAGGCAAAGAATACACAAAATTACTACGAAACATCACTTAACAGGCTAGTAATGGCAATTTTAAATTCTCCGAAGCAGTGACTTTGGAAACGGCTGCGGGAAGGCGGTGTCAATCAATCCAAGTATGAGGCACGAAAGAGGCATTAAAGGTGGATGGGCTGCAATGGGGGATCCCAACTTTTAGTTGGTGCGCGATGATCTGTCAAATGGTTCAGAAAATAGACCTTGGCGGAGGGTTAGAAATGTCATGACACAAACAGACGGGATATATTTCAACGAAGAGAAAGAACAGGCAAGGCTAGAGATCCATTCATTCATTCATTCATTCATTTGTTTATTTTCTGTGCTTATGAACAGCCTCACGCCTTGATAATGATGCAAAACAAAATGTTACAGGTAAGTTACAAAAGTCTTATAAGCTACGAAATTTGAGTTAAAAATATCAATATCTGCTCCAGTGAGGGTATTGCAGAAGTGTTGAATGCGGGTCGTGGGACTGGTTGGGATGATCTGATTAACATGGAAAGTCGAAAAAAAACCCGCCAAACTTGACTTGGAACGTGAATATTAATAGCAGATGTGAGATCTGGGCAATCAATTAACCCATGAATACATTTACACAGGAAGACAAGATCGCGCTCACAACTCAAAGTAGGGCATTTGCATCGTTCCAACAGTCTCGCATAAGAATAATAGAGAGTACGACCAATGTAACGATCATACACTTTCATTGAAGTAGGGCTAGCTGTCCGGTGATGGAAAGATGGAAAGTATAAAACGTGCGGAGCGATTTTGGACGGATTCTACGGCAGTTGCAAGGCTGCTACCATGATTCCAGATTGGGGCAGCATATTCAAGTTTAGGACAAGTTAAGGTTTCATACATAAGGAGTTTTTATAAAATAGGAAAAAGAAAATATTTATTTTGATCTAAAGGCCCGTTCACACACTTGCAACCGAGCACGACAGAGAAAGACAAGATCTGTTGAAACCTCTTAAAAATGTGTAGCACGAGAGAACACACTGGCACGCTGGCGCCATCTATGCGGTAACCCGGGAACTGCATTTCACAAGAGCGAAGGTTTTGCGGGATTTCCGAGGTCAAATGTGCATAATATCTATGAGAAAGTCTCGTTTATAACGTCGACAAAAGTTTTTTCGAGCCAAGCAAGAAAGGATAATGCGCGAGAGAAATAGAAAATATGCCGGACCGCTAAGTTTACACTGCTACCGAATAGATGGCGCCAGTGTGTCCTCTCATCGTAAGAGATATTAAGAGGTTCCAAGGCACTCGGTTCTAAGAGGTGGCAAATGTGTGAACAGGCCTTAACACAATAATTGATTAGCGTTTTTTGAGACGACACGAATATTCAATGACAGATCGTTTGAAATGTGAATACCAAGGTACTTGTAGAAGGGCACAAGAAGGAGGGTAGAGTTAGTGATAAAGTAGAAAGGGCAAATGTTATTTTGACGAGAGACATTCATGGATTTACATTTAGAGATATTAAGCTCATTAGGCCACTCGTCGCATCATTGCGTAACATCGTTAATAGCGGTCTGAAGAGCACAAATGTCAGAGTTGTTGAGTTTTTTTTTTCTTTTCTTCTGTGGAAATAGCACAGTCGTCATCAAAAAGACACAGGTAGGGAGATCATTAATATAAATAAAAAATAGCAGACGACCGAGTACCGAACCTTGTGGGACACCGGAGTTGACAGGCGATTATAAAGAATTAGTTCTGTTGGCGTGGACATTCTGTAAACCGTTAGTCAAAAAGGCTTCTATTCAGGAAAGTACGTATGAACATATGTTAACGCTACTAAGTGTTTGAAGGGCGTGAGGTACCTTAGTAGAATGCTTTGGAGGAGTGGAGGAATATGCAGTCAGTCTGGAACCATGGTCAAGTGTGACATGGAGATTATGAGTGAAAATAAGGAGTTGGGTTTTACATGAATAGGTCTTCCACAACCATGTTGTGATCTCTTAAGAAAAAAGTTTGTATCCCGATAATAAACAAGTTGAGAGTAAATTACTTGTTCAAGAATTTTGCATGGTATGCTCGTTAGGGAGATGTGACGGAAGTTGAATAGCTTTTGTTTATTGCCACCTTTGTGTACTGGAACCCCCTTCCCCTGCTTCCAGTATAATGTCAGGACTCAATGCTGGAGTGACTGAAAAAATAACTTCGACAGGATAATGCTAGGATATATCTTAGTGTTTTCAAAAATGTAGTGTTGATCAATAATCTTAGAAAATTCTTCACTACATATCAACAACAAGAGGATGAATAGGCAGAACATCACCGACGGGAAATACAGGGCTATAGTAACTAACTGCAATAAAAAAATAATTTAGTAAACACTTTATTAAAAAAATTACACAGTTTATTAGGTTATTCATCCCCATCGGCATCCCTAAACATTATATTGGAAGAAAAAGAAGGAATAATAACCTTCCGAAATTGACGCGGGTTATTTAACAACAAAGAATGTAACGTATTATTAAAATTATGTTTTTTTGCGTCTAGAATTGCTTTTTGTTTGTATACAACAGCTGTTTGTTTGAAATAACTTTGCAGCGCAAAATAACTTTTTTTTTGCTAGCTTTTTTAAGAACATTTTATACCTTGGCGTTTCGGGGGAAGACTAAATAGTGCGAAGTGGAAAGTGCGCTTTCATGAGGGACGCAACCTTTCATATTGTCACGTAGGCGAAGGAGACGTTGGCAGTGGTAGGACCTAACAAGGGTTTCATGAGCGGACTGCAAAGCAGGATAAAAAAAAAAGGGCGACGGGTCGGTCCGGTTGATCTGCTTGCAGTTCTTCGAAATTGCGCGGGGCACGAGAGAGCGCCAGGCGCGAGCCCCGTGCAGAACCGAAAAAGACCGCGATGTGCTGTCATGCGCGAACAATCGAGGCGTTTGTTAACTGTGGCCTTATCCCCCCTTTAAAGGAAGCAGCGACCAGATGCTTGAAGGTAAAGCTTCGTGGGAGTAGATGGGCAAATATGTTCTTTCAACGTCTATCTGGCATAGCATGGTTTGAGGGGGACTACGTGAGCAACTTCTGGGTGTAAACGGCGTCGCCGTGATGGCGAGCTTTCATTGGGCATGACCTCGTAGGTTAACTTCCAGCGGCACCTCTATGGAGGTAGCACGAAGAATCGTGCTACCTCCATAGAGGTGCTGCTGGAAGGGGCCTGTTTTTCGGCGAAGCGGGTTAGGTAGTCGGTAGCCACGATAATCCATTTGTTACCGGAAGCGGATGTACGAAAAGGACCTAGCAAATTAATTCCTACCTGTTGGAAGGGCTGCATGGGCGGCTCTATGGGCTTCAATAGTCGTGAAGGTCTTGTAGGCGGCGCTTTTCGGCGTTGGCAATCTCGGCAAGTGCGTACGTAGTGAGCGACGTTGGTAGCGAGGCGTGGCCAGAAGTAGCGTTCATGGATCCTGCCGAGGGTACGCGTAAATCCCAGATGTCCCGTTGTTGGCTCGTCATCCGCCGCTTGAAGGATTTCGTCACGGAGGGCCGTGGGGACCACAAGTTGGTATACTGTGCCTTGTTAGGGGCGAAATTCTTCTTTACGAGCATGTCGTTTCGCAGACAAAATGCGGATCCGCCGTGCTTCAAGATTTTGGGACTGTGGCGGCTTTGCCTTCTAGGTAGTCGATATGCTTGTTTAGGTCTGGATCAGGTCGTTGTTGCTGAGCGAAAGTACTAGCACTGATCGCACATAGCGACGTGTCTTCGTCGTCCGTGTTTTCTGGTGGAGGGTGGACAGGTGCACGCAAAACGCAGTCGGCGTCGCAGTATTTGCGTCCCGACTTGTGTAGGACTA